ATGGGTGGTGCAGTTGACCATGATGAGGCTGGCCTGCACAGACACAGAGAAGCGAACGAGTGAGTCATCGCCTTTATTGCCCCTGGCTGAAGTGTAAAATCCTCACAGCCTCATCCTTTCAGTGTGGTAAAAGATGACGTGCCAAGCTGCCGTTTTCAAGTTGGACCTGCCTGAGGAAAAACGAATGACTTCTATGTGAAAATGAACACAACAGGGTAAATACTTGAGAAAAGAGCCAACACCACAAACCTACATTAACTCTATATCCAACTGCAGTGTTAAAGAGCTTTAAACTTTGCTGTCCAGCGACCTTGTTAGTGCAATATTGCCTTTATTGTAGCTCTATTTTAGTCTCCATCAAACCCTGAGAGAATGCGATGCTCTGGTTCTGCTGAATGCTCAGTTTGCCTCTTAACAGTTTTGTTTTTGCATGTTGCAGCTGGCAAGTAAACCAGATAAGAGATGTGAAAATCAAATGATGCTAATACCCCATGTGGAGCCTGGACGAATAAACTGTATGTGATAGTCCACTGCAGACAAGAACCTTTGGATAACACACACTCAACTGATTGATTGTTAATATGAAATATGGATTAGACTGGCTGTTGATCTTGCTCTCAAACACATTTAATACTTTCAACAGCAATATCTGGTTTTCTGTTTTTGTAAGTCATCATTTTCATTACTAATGGAACATAATGTCAATATGTCTTTTATTATCAATTATCCCACTACTCTCATCTGCTTCTGCTGTAAACGTGAATTTTCACACATTTCACATATACCGCTTTATTAGTGGAGAATTACAGATTACATAAAGGTTTCTGTGAAATGACTGCAAAGAGACTGACTGACGCATCCTGCAGAGAGATGCTTTTCCAAATAGATTCGAGTATCATGCTGATGTCTCGGGGCACGTCTAATAGGCCCTTTGACATGAAATGTCATTAGTCAAAGTGGATTCGGTGTCATTATAGCTCCATTTTTGCCATCCAGCCTTTTTCACATTCCTGAGTAAGTCTTTAATTAACAGTGACAAAGTACCTTGTCTTTGAATGTTTTCTTTATAGCTAAAAACAGTCTGAATTGTCCCTGTAATCACCAAAGAAACAGGGACATCGTGTATTATTTAAACTGATGGGTGAACACACACTTCTGTTCCTCCATCACACTTAAATCTGACTTCCCTGATCAAAATCACTGAGAAACATACACTACTTTAGAAGGCAGAAGCCCCATCCTGAGGGGGTTTCGGTGATAATGACAACCCTTATCTGCATGCAGAATTAGTCAGAAATAGCTCCCTGTGATTGGCTTTCTGACAGAGGTGTAGGATGTAATCACTATACCAGTGCAGGATCTGTTAGGTCCAACCACTGGTGTATGAAAGAGCCTTTCTTGTTGTTTAATGCAATATGCTTGCACAAAGCTTCTTTTTTGTTGTTGTTTTTTATTTTTGCCATGAAATTGCTATTCGTCAAAAAATGTTATTTCACAGGCAGTTTAAAAGAAATCTTTGAAATTGTGTTCCCCTCACAGACTATATATATATATATA